TCGCACGTTTTTGGTCATAATGTCGGAAATAAACATCTCCAAAAGCCAGAACTTTCAATGTATTTTCTCCATCTCTCGAGCAAATAAAAACAATTAGAAAGTGTAAGACTTTCGACCAAGAATTCTGAATAAGCTTCAATCGAAAGGTTTTTCTCTTTTTTCTAGAGTTCAATATGTCGGGCCCACTGGTTTAAAACTATTTTATGAAAAACCGGGGACGTGCCCAGAGCGGAAACCTACCTAAATTAAAATCTTATGTAATTCTAAAAAGAATAGAATTGTAATTTCGCCTTTGAAAATTGCGTGGATATCTCAAATCAACGTGCAAAGACGTGCGAATTTTAGTAAAACTTTCCACCTTCGAGTAGAATAAATTAATCACTGCTCGTATTTATGCCGAAACAAGTTCTTAAACTTACCCTAAATTGGACTATTTTTGCACAGTTTCATCTACATACAAAACGTCTTCTTTCATTATTCATGGGAAGAGTAAAACACACGCAAATGAATACAAAAGAGAGGACACCGGCTCCTTCGCCATGTTTACTTACATCTTCAAAGTTTCCCGCCAGACACAGGTATACCGCGCGCCATGTATTCTATTTGGCTCACGCATGCGCAGACAAATGTCCCTGCTGTTGAGATTAGGACTAAAAAAATATTTTTAGTATAATTTGACTTTTTATTTTTTAATAATTGCCTGTAAAATGTTAAAGTGATTTATCAACAGTTTGTTTAACCGATTAAATTGTTAAATATCATTTCAGTCTTTAATAGGAGACAATCAGGCCATGATTGGTCAGCCAGTCATCAACAAAGACTTGTGTACACAGACAGATATTGGTTGTCCTTCCAGTTTAGGGCAAACCATAGAAACTTCACCTCAACAAAAGCCATTTGTTTTCCATGCAGAAGATGTTAGAGATGAAGAAGACAGTAGCATAGATGGAGATGGAATTATTGATGCAATGTTGAAAGTTCTTGAGGAAATAACTGATGGAAATGACTCTGACCATTTGGCAGAGTTTACAAATGACAACAGCAACGAAACAGTAGATAGATATGTCAACAATAAAGATAGTGGTGGGAATATGGAAAGTGTACTTCGAGAAGGAAATGGAAATGACACTGAATGTTTGGTTGGGTTTACAAGTGACGACATTAATGAAGCAACAGATATCTCTGTTCATAACAATTGTCAGAAGGAGAATGCTTTGTCTCCAGTGAAAGAAAGCAAAATTAGTTTTAACTGTTCTTACTGCAGCAAGAAATTTAACCACAAAAATAATTTGAATGTTCACATACGAATACACACTGGAGAGAAACCTTATGAATGTTCCTTTTGCGACAAGAAATTTGCAAAGACATCAAATTTGAGAAATCATTTCAGAACACATACCAGAGAAAAGCCTTTTGAATGTTCTTATTGTGGGGAAAAATGCGCACAGAAATCAAATCTGGTATCTCGTCTAAGAACACATACAAGAGAGAAGCCCTTTCAATGTTCATACTGCAAAAATAGATTTTCTCATAAAAATACTTTGAAGATTCATATGAGAATACACACTGGAGAAAAGCCATTTCATTGTTCTTACTGCAAAAAGGCATTCATAATTAAGAGCAGTTTAGTGTATCATTTGAGATTACACACTGGAGAGAAACCATTTCAATGTTCATACAGCAAAAATAAATTCTCAAAACTGTCAAATATGAAACGTCACCAAAGATTACACACTGGAGAGAAGCCCTTTGAATGTTCTAATATTTAAACTGCAAAATGAAATTTTCACCAAAGATGCGTGTTTAATTTAATTTATTCATTTTTTATTTTCACAAGAATTTAGTACTAGGAGCATGCATGGTGTGTATTGGGTTTGTTGACAGGATTTCATAGATGTGTCTATTGTAGGATTCTTTTCGACCAATGACCAATCACTTCCGGTGTTACGCGCTCATTGAAATGCGTGAATCAAAATAAAGAAACATGGCGAATGACAGTCAAAGCGAATTTTCTTCTCGTCTTTCTGAAATAAGTGATTAAAAAGAGGCCTCTACTTAATTAAATGGAAAACTGAAGAAAAATCTATACTAAAAATAGGCACGTCTATGAGAACGTCATGACACTCCTAGTGACACACAGACATCACACTTAGACTTCTAATCACTTTGAATTATTATAATATTTGAATTTACTAAAAATATATTTTAATACATTAAGGCACGAGATATTTTCCGTAGCGAAAAAGTATTATTCCGTATTTTCAAAAAGATAGCTTTAAAACTGACAGTGTAAGATCTTTTATTTTGGAACATGTTCATTTTTACAAGAAAATGTATGTAAGGTGAGCTGCGTTGCAGTAGTACTCTCGACCTTATTGTAAGGTACAGAAAGCTGGATACCACGTACCGTACAGGAAGAGAATAGACTAACAGCATTACACACCAGATGTCTTCTATCACCACAAGAATAAAATGTACTCAGTTGAGCCACTCACTTCCCCTATATAAACACGTACCATTGTATAAAGGACATTTTTATGTTTTATGCATTTTGTGTTTTTATTCTAAAATATCAGGTGAAAGTAAATAAATAAATATTTAAAAAAAGATTTTGATTGTACTGCATTATTGAAGACATTTAGACGTCTTGCTCGCTTTTATTCCGATTTAAAAGCCTTAGGAATGTACTTTTTATATTATATCTTTTAAATTCATAATATTTGTTATTCTACTTCACCTAAAAGCTGCGGCTAAACGAGCGACTTTTCGCTTGTGCAGGCGACGCGATTTTCGGGTACGATTGAAGCTGAACATCGCATTTGATCTGTTTTTGTACACATATCTCTTAATGGAGATTCAAATAAGTGTTTGTTAGGATTTTTTTATCAATACAGTATTGTCGCTCCTTTAGC